AGAGAGAGAGAGAGAGAGAGAGAGAGAGAGAGAGAGAGAGAGAGAGAGAGAGAGAGAGAGAGAGAGAGAGAGAGAGAGAGAGAGAGTGAGTCACCCAGTACGTCGCCGTAATTGCAATCTTGGTTTCCTGAAAAGGTACAGGGGAAAGAAATCCAGATACATTCCTCTCTTGAGTATCTACCCAAAGGACTTGTGTAAAGGAGAAACATAATCTAATAACTTGCCTGCAAGCTACAAATGAGGTACCATAGTTCGTACCCATTCACACAACAAAATGCTGAGAATATTAGAGAAACTCTGAGACAGCCAATGGACTCACCCGTCTGCAAACTCAGTTGCAATGTAGAGATCTATGCCACCTTGACCCTCTGTTGACTGCTCAATAAACACATTGCTCACTGTGCAAGGCAAAATGATCCATGGCACCAGAGCGAGAAGAACTTCAGATAAAACAGGACGGACAAACAATCACTCTCAAAAAGTTGATTATGTAGCAGTGCAGGGGAAAGGTTATGACATCTATCTGCTAAGGACACCACCACATCGTCAATTTTTGCCAGATCACTGGCCCAGTGCCACTCCTGCCCAGCAGCCGGCTGCTCAACCGCTTATTCACTCCCATGAACACCTCCATTCCACTCTTCCCCCTCTTCTCCCCCCATTAAACCACCAGTACCCTACCTCGCTATTTTCTTTTTCCGTCCGGCATGCTTGGAGGTCACTTGCTCGGTCAGTGCAGCCTCGGCACATGCTCGATTTTGAAACTGGTGAAGCGAATTGACAGTCGGCAGTAACAATCACAGGTGTTTTTCTTTTAGGTGGCATGTTTTGTCAGGAAATCTAAGCTGTAGAATAGGAAGATAGGAACCCCATGTTGTCACGGCTTGATGCCGACTCTTCCAGAGAACACCACGCATTAGGGCCTTGATTGTACAGGACCAGAAAGATAGCTCGAATGCATTCACAATGAGACCGATGAAAGGGGAAAGGAGACCAGCAGTCAACAGATACAACGACCGTTTTTGGTTATTTTTGGTCCCACCACGGGCCACCGGCAAGTTTTGTCAGAAACTAGGAATTCTAGGCTGTATAAGAAACACACTGTGGCAACTCTTCCTCCCAACGCCGCACACTTTGCGTTCACTGTCTTCGACTGAAAAGATAGCTTGTAGACATTAGTAACGAGAGAGCTAGCATTTTCTCAAACCACGGTAGCAGGCATTGAGGGAAATACATTTCCTCTGTCAAAACGTATGTGTAAGGACGCGGGACTGAAGAAACTCAATTTACAAGCACAATCAACTTTCGTGAGGAGCATGCATATGTGGATGCAGCAATTAGCAGAAATGACAAAGCACCGATCACAACAGCACAAGAATTAACAATGTTGTTGAGCTCTCCTGATGATCAAAAGCCCACTTCTCGCCTCCCGAGTCCCAACCGATCAATACAACTATACCACAACAACAAGGATACGCTGGTCTCTCCACCGGCCTATGTGATCATCTACTCTATCAACTAACCTAGCCTACACTACCTCAATGCACAGTGCCACAGCCATACAATGCTGCTCCCGCCCATGCCTGGCCAAAGAATGTGCCATGCTGAAGCTCTTCTTCGCGACCACCGGGTGAGTCCCTCGCCAACACCTTTTCCCATCGTCTTCCTGTCCCTCCAAGGACCTCCCCTACTTGCACCACCTCTCTCTCTCTCTCTCTCTCTCTCTCTCTCTCTCTCTCTCCCCCCCCCCCCCCCCCCCCCCCCCCCCCCCCCCCCCCCCCCCCCCCCCCCCCCCCCCCCCCCCCCCACCCCACCCCCAGGCGCCTGGCTAGGGCTAATGCTACCTTCTATCTCAGTCCCTTGGTGCTTGCTGTTAGTGCTGGTGCGGCTGCTTTCCCGGCTCTTTCATATGTAGCCAGGTCAGGGCCCCTACCCATCCAGTTCGGCCTCTTCCTGAAGACTCTGGACTGCTCGTCCGGTACCAATATCCCAACCACTCCGTAAGAGATCTCAGCCAGGCCCCTCATTTCTTCAGTCTGGCCAATTTGGCCTCATCCTGGCGTACTGGGCCACATCAGCCTTACGGCCTACTGGCCCTCACTGTTAAGAGCCCCTTGGGCCTCGCATATGTATGTGAAAACAAAACAAAAAAGAGATTGACGAAGAAAACACACATACGGTGATCGACCAGCAGATTATCTAAGGCAGTGCTCCAATCCTCCGAGCCATCAACATTTCCCTGTTATATGAGGCAAGCAATAACCAGAAGAAAATATAAAACAGACATACCCACTTACATCTAATGACATATGGGTGCGAGATCCGCCTCATGATACAAACTTCTCGAAGCACACGCTTCGCCAACATAGGGCAGCAGAGAACATCTGCGATCCTCTGCAGTCAGACGTTCCCAAACACACAAGAACCAGAAAATGAACAAATTCGTCATCAGCAGCACCATCGTCATCAGCATCAGCATCAGCAGCATAGGCATGCATCAGCATTTCAACACCCACCCACCTTTTGTTTTCCCTCTTCTCTCAAATTCTTTTTTTGCCTTTCACTACCTACCAACCACTACTCCTAAGGTCATATAGAGGGGAGGTTATATAGAGGGGACCCCTGCAAGCATAGCTACGTCACAATGAATGGATTGCATGTTGCCCCCCACCCCAACAGCAGTAGTCGGAGATGGGTTGGGGACGCCGGTGGGGGTCCAAAGACTGAGCATTTTGCCAGTAGTTGCGCCTCCCTTTTCATCGTCCCCCGCCCCCAACTCGAATAGCAGTAGTTTCTAAGGCCAACACTCTCCCACACACCACACACAACCCACTCACACTCGCACTCACACCCGTGATGGCCAAAGACCCTACTGATATCGATCAGAGGTATCCAGCAGACTATCACAGCTTGTTGGTACTAAGTGCGCCACAGACGGTTATGGGGCTCGAGCCCACAACCTCCTGAACATCCACTCACCTTAATCATCTGCAGGGAACCAATCACAGCATCAGTCACCTAATTCCGCAGCCCTTAGGCATGCAGTATAGTGGGTTTGGGCGCCTGTGTCAAGGTGGTGCATTTTTTGCGGCGGGCGACAAGCAGATAAGGGCGCTCTTTTGAGGGTTGAATTTATCAGGGGCTTGGTCCTTCTCATTTTTGCAGACGACCCACAGCTATGCTCCTAGAACCGGTACCTTCATAAATTTGAAGGACCGGTCGTCTGTTTCACCTGGACCCCAAAAACTAGTTTTGAACGGGTGGACCATTTCTCGAGAGTGCCAGGTGCAAAATAAGTTTTCGTGAGTCCTATCCTAGGTCCGAAAATTCAGCACAGATCTTGAAGATCTGACAGTCACCAATGAGCTTGGCCACAGGCATCGGCAGCCTGTTGCAAAATCTTGAGAGTGTCTATTTTGGTGATTTTTGGTAATCAGAATAATTAGGGAAAATTTTTGAAATGCCCCTGTAGTTTGAGTTTATTTGCGGCGTGCCGCTGTGAATGCCGACTTACCCTGTGGTGCCCCTCGGGCCTCTGAAATTTTCCGCAGGCCCCTGTCAGCATGAGGCGTAACTTTCCGATATGCCCTTACTGGACCGCTGGTGAAGTTTCGTCGGTCGGTCCTTGAAATGCCCTCACGAGGGGCACCCATCTTTCTATGATGCCCTTGCAGCAGTGGCGGCAGGAATTTGAATTCAAAGTGGTAGGCATTCCACCCGCCACCACGGAAAAACGGTCTGTATACGTGTATGTGTGTTTGTTGTGTGTGTGTGTGTGTGTGTGTGTGTGTGTGTGTGTGTGCGCGCGCCTGTGTGTGT